AAATAATTGCTGCTCTCTAACACAGAGGTCTTCGATGCGAAGGGAACTTTAAGCTTTAATTCTGCAGCTGTGACTGTAAGCATTTGGTACGAGCTTATGAACATCTGTCCATTATTTGTATTACCACACTGCACCAGACAGTGTCAGGTGTACAAGTTAGGCATTCATTTATTTCCCATGATTTGTGTACACGGGCCTGTTTACCACATAAGGATCAGTGTTTCTTATAAAATAATAATAATTTTGCTGCTGTTGTTGATAAACTGTTTATTTTTTCTGTGAGGCGCATTTTCGTCTTCGCACGCGTTTACTTTTTTGGTGGAATTCTGTTTGACCAAGGGCTGATATGAGTCTGTTTTCTGGATGTATAGAGGAATTTGTAATTATCAGAATAACAATACGTTTTACAGTTTTGGCAAGTTTGTAATCTTGTGCTGGCTTTTTTTAGTGGCATTTTTCTTGTAGTCTCTTTTTTTGTTGTTGGATTTATTACATACAAATTGTACTTCTGTCTGTCTGGGCATTCCAGGTCTCTGTTAAATGTGACAAAGCCTGAGCACAAGCCTTCTTACTAATGTGTGCAGTGTGCATTATCTCTCCCGTCCATTCGTACAGTATTGAGTGAAAATACAACTGAGTATTCTGACAACTTTACATTGTTTACTTGTTTTCAGCTAAATGGTACTTAACTTTAATGTTTTTCAAACAGGACAAATAATATGCTGATATTCAATGCTTCAAACTCATTCTTAAACTTAGTCTAAATGTATTCTCACCAATATTTTTGAGCGCTGCCTAATAGTATTTTATGCTGCGTCTACTGTTGCATAAACTAGATCAAATGTCTTCATCTGCTGAGTGCACAAAGCCATCACTGTTCTTATTATAGTGCTTGCTCTCATCTTTCTGTTACGTTGGAGGTATTGAGTTTTCTCTCACCTTGAGATTTGCCTTTCAAGTAAAAGAAAAAGCCTCATATTTCATTGGGTGAGTGTGCAGACTAATGGTTAAAATTACAAGAGCTTTATTGTAAAAATGAACAGAATTGGGTACGGTCATATTTACTTATTACATGGTTTAATGTACCTTGAATTAAAATGCTTTTCTTACTGTAAAGGTGTGTTGATCACTAGTAGTAGCAGTATGAGAGAAACCTTATGAACTGTGATCTTATGGTATTTTAACAAAATCAAACTGGTAGCATTCATACATTCAAAGCAAAAGTGATAGCTGTTAGCATATCATTCGTCAGTGTTAATGTTTCCTGGGTTGAACCGAATACTTTGTCTCTTAACTTTACCTTTCAGTTTTTATCCTGTTCACATATTGTAACCACAGTGTTTACCTGAAATCTAACTTACCTGAGAATCAGTGGGTCCTTAAAAGCTGGTAGCATAACCCGACAGTGTGTTGCTCTCATGATGCTGTCTTATCTCACTGCAAACGTCTTGTATTGTGTTTTTGTTTTTTTATGTCGCTGTACTATTTATGAATGTTAAACACATTTCTTTGGGCTGTCCAAATGAATGGCTTATGTAAATTGCATTCAAGGGCATTCATTTCATAATAATGTCCATAATGACACTGAACGTCTGTCTCACCCACTGCTCAATCCCATGAGTGTGAAAGTCAGACTATTCATCTCGATTATTTGTTCATCAACTTCCCGCTCTCCTCTTTTTGCACTACCAAGGAAAAGGCTGGCGTGCCGACATGCTGGCAAAACGGCAAATACTCTCCCATGCTTGGCTACAAATAAAACATGCAACATACCAAATGGGGACACTATCTTTGTGTGTGTGTGTGTGGTACTTTGTGCTCATGCCTTGAACATACATGAAAGTATGTGTCTTTAGAAATAGCTTTTACATTTGGAAACCAAAAGCTTCAAAGCATTTAAAAACTAAAATAGGCCACTCAAATGAATCAGCGTATCTCATCTCGGTCCACCTTTCAACAGCCAATTCAAATGAAGTAAAATGTTGCCTCATTGTTTCCACTTAAAAGTAGCATTGTTAAAATGAAGCCTTAGTATACAGTGGGGCAAAAAAGTATTTAGTCAGCCACCAATTGTGCAAGTTCTCCCACTTAAAAATATGAGAGAGGCCTGTAATTTTCATCCTACCTCAACTACGAGAGACAGAATGGGGGGAAAGAATCCAGGAAATCACATTGTAGGATTTTTAATGAATTAATTCCTCGGTAAAATAAGTATTTGGTCACCTACAAACAAACAAGATTTCTGGCTCTCACAGACCTGTAACTTCTTCTTTAAGAGCCTCCTCTGTCCTCCACTTGTTAACTGTATTAATGGCACCTGTTTGAACTCGTTATCAGTATAAAAGACACCTGTCCACAACCTTAAACAGCCACGCTCCAAACTCCACTATGGCCAAGACCAAAGAGCTGTCAAAGGACACCAGAAACAAAATTGTAGACCTGCATCAGGCTGGGAAGACTGAATCTGCAATAGGTAAGCAGCTTGGTGTGAATAAATCAACTGTGGGAGCAATTATTAGAAAATGGAAGACATACAAGACCACTGATAATCTCCCTCGATCTGGGGCTCCACGCAAGATCTCACCCCGTGGGGTCAAAATGATCACAAGAACGGTGAGCAAAAATCCCAGAACCACACGTCGGGGGGACCTGGCCAATGACCTGCAGAGAGCTGGGACCAAAGTAACAAAGACTACAATCAGTAACACACTACGCCGCCAGGGACTCAAATCCTGCAGTGCCAGACGTGTCCCCCTGCTTAAGCCAGTCCATGTCCAGGCCCGTCTGAAGTTTGCTAGAGAGCATTTAGATGATCCAGAAGAGGATCGGGAGAATGTCATATGGTCAGATGAAACACTAGACGTGTTTGGAGGAGAAAGAATGCTGAGTTGCATCCAAAGAACACCATACCTACTGTGAAACATGGGGGTGGAAGCATCATGCTTTGGGGCTGTTTTTCTGCAAAGGGACCAGGGCGACTGATCCGTGTAAAGGAAAGAATGAATGGGGCCATGTATCGTGAGATTTTGAGTGACAACCTCCTTCCACCAGCAAGGGCATTGAAGATGAAACGTGGCTGGGTCTTTCAGCATGACAATGATCCCAAACACACCGTCCGGGCAACGAAGGAGTGGCTTCGTAAGAAGCATTTCAAGGTCCTGGAGTGGCCTAGCCAGTCTCCAGATCTCAACCCCATAGAAAATCTTTGGAGGGAGTTGAAAGTCCGTGTTGCCCAGCGACAGCCCCAAAACATCACTGCTCTCGAGGAGATCTGCATGGAGGAATGGGCCAAAATACCAGCAACAGTGTGTGAAAACCTTGTGAAGACTTACAGAAAACGTTTGACCTCTGTCACTGCCAACAAAGGGTATATAACAAAGTATTGAGATGAACTTTTGTTATTGACCAAATACTTATTTTCCACCATAATTTGCAAATAAATTCTTTAAAAATCAGACAATGTGATTTTCTGGATTTTTTTCTTTCTCATTTTGTCCTCATAGTTGAGGTATACCTAGGATGAAAATGACAGGCCTCTCATCTTTTTAAGTGGGAGAACTTGCACAATTGGTGGCTGACTAAATACTTTTTTGCCCGTGAGTATCTCACGACTGGCCCTGTGTGCCTTGGCAGTCTCTAGTTTGTTATTGACCAAATACTTATTTTCCACCATAATTTGCAAATAAATTCTTTAAAAATCAGACAATGTGATTTTCTGGATTTTTTTCTTTCTCATTTTGTCTCATAGTTGAGGTATACCTAGGATGAAAATGACAGGCCTCTCATCTTTTTAAGTGGGAGAACTTGCACAATTGGTGGCTGACTAAATACTTTTTTGCCCCACTGCAAGTTCTAAAAACACAGCTCTGAAAATATAATCCCCACACCCTCCTTGTTTGTATTTTCTTTACACAAGACCTTGATTGTGATTGAAGGACCAAGTATGTGGGGGGGAACCCATGAGACGGTGAACAAAGTTTATTTCCTCTTCATTAAAAAGGATATCAAGCATGCACCGCATACTGTGAGATCAAAACAAAAAACTATCATGTCTGCCTTTCAAACTACATCTCTGTCTTTAAGGAAATTTACACTAAGTATAGAGTCTATAGACTTTGTCAAATAGAGAATGTTATAAGAATAAAGTATTGAACAGTCAAGGCTCCTAACTGCATTTGTACCATTTCACTACTTTAGATGTGAACACATAATTTAATTAAAACATTGAATTAATGAAGGGAATCAATTAACCAAATACTACCAAATTGGTCAACTTCACTTGAATATGTCATTATTTTATGAGCAGCTTAATTGTGATGGTCGTCATGAAAAGCTCCTGCAGCAACACCAGAGGCGCAGTCAGGAGATGTCAGATGTGTTTGCAGGGTACGGGGAGAACAGTGTCCCCCCCTCTGTCCCGCTGAAGCCTCCCGTACAGATCATAGCCTCTCCTCTCCTCTCCTCTCTCTCACCGTGCCTCAGCTTCCTGTGGTACACCTGGTTCACAGCCAAGTGCAGGGAGAAGTGCACCTGTGGACACAAGAGGAGAGAATACAAACACCTTACAAAACACCTTGGCCCCTAGATATGGCAGAAAGCCAAGGCTGGAGCGCTAGTTAAACACATACACTACACCAGACACTGCACTTTCACAGACTACAAACAAATCTTTTCAAAAGGCACTCTGCACATCATTTTCTTTTTATTATCAAATTTTACCAACACAAAAATAATCATCAAACAGCCAGCTGCCATTTGACAAATGCACCACTCACAGCTGGGTAAAGCTCACACCAAATAGAATAATCTTCTTATTATGCTGCAAAAGGTTTTGTTAGAAATACCCAAAGTGTAAAAGTGGTAGTAAAAACATCTAAAGTAAGTAAACAAGATGTGTTATACAATAACTACAACAACATTCCTAAAGCATAGGAGACAAAAAAAATCTTTATAAAAGTACCTCAGTCATGCAGTAAGAGCAGCGAGGGGATCACACCTCAACAATGTGCTTTAGGTCAAATAATACCAAGTCACTTGATAAATTATCACCAAGTGCTTTTGCAATCTAATCTCAAAACGATGAGAAACAATGTATGACCTTTCTAGATCAGAACCAAACAAGTATGTCCCTTTGTCCAAAAGGAACACTCCAAATAATCTAAAATTCCTTCACTTTGAATCCATCACTTCAATTATTTGGAGGGAGGTGGGGGTCATGCAGTGTGTGTGTGTGTGTGTGTGTGTGTGTGTGTGTGTGTCAGATGGGCTGCATTTAGGCTTCAGAGAGGTCTAACCCTCTCATTGTTTGCTGGACCCTCTCCCTTGACATGTAATATAACCCTTGGCAGAGAATCGGAGCGCAGATGGCCCCCACAACTGGCTCCTTATTGGTTGGCTTTCATAACGGCCATGACTTCATTGTTGAGGCTTTTCTCCAGCCCGTGAGAAAAGTCCTGAGGTCAGCGTGAGACTGCAAATGCATGCTTGTCTGCCACCATGGCAACCAGATGTGAAGGATAGTAGTCATGGTAACATAATCCCTATTCTGTGCAACAGCTGCATTCTCGCAGCACATGTGTCGCAAATTGGTGGTTATCCTTACACATGTTAATTTATTAGTGATGTGTTATTTCTATTTTGAGAGCAACTGGAAGCAGGAATTAATTCTATTCTCAGCAAGAAAAAAAAGAGCAATAATTTACAAATATTTTGGTAACATGGCATAGGACATACTGAAATAAGATGTACTGCATTAAGGCAGTAGAAAAACATACAAGCATAGAAAAAAAATTACATTATTCCCAACAAGAAAAGTAAAAATATAAAAACATTTCAAGAGTCCGTGACCACAGGTGGTTCTGTGCAGATGATGAGAAGGAGAGAATTGTTGCCGTCCCTTTACATCCCCATGTTGATATTGAGGTAGTGAAAGAGCTGGTGAGCCTAACACCGTGCACCCATGCCTTTTCTCCCCAGATACTGAAGAACCGCAAAGTTATAGGTGGTCGAGACAGTATAGGTTAGCTATGGAAGGAAAAGCAGAGACAGGAGGTGTCAGAATATGGAAGAGTGACAAATCCAGAACATCCAGAAACTAGACATAAGAAAATATATGATTAACTGCTAATGGCATTAATTTGATAGCAGATTCCATCCGTATAACGGCTTCTTTAATGGAGCATGCCGGTATAATGGGTGCTCCATTTGCTTGGCTGGAAAACCACCAGACATTACAGCACTATTATGATGTTTGTTTCAGCTGAGAAAGAGGAACAGAGAGCAATAGTACAAAAGTCATCACTCATGGAGGTCTGAGATGCCTCGCCGCCTACACTTTGAGCGTCACCGAGTCACATGAGTCATAACACTATTGTACCCTACTGCGGAAACGCAGACAAATGGGCCCCATCTGAGGAATAATCGCTCACCAGAGCCAAGAGAGTGATGCCAGCACCAGCGAAGGCAGCAATGTAGAGGTCATAGGTCATCTGGTACTGATCGGAGATAAGAGGGCTGCATTAGTGGTGATGACATACATCTTCATTTCTTGTCAAGCAAATTGTAGAACATGACTGCAGGGCTTTTATTATTCCCGGGTCCTTACTTCTCTGGTTTTGCAAACATTGGAGAGAGTCATACCACAAGCTTTCCCTGGCACTGCGTTCCATGGCAGTAGACCTGTTAAAAAAAACATTTATATATTTATTTGATCTTTCAAACACAAAATACTGTCAAAGGACAATGTTGGCATTTTCTACATTTGTTTTCCAATATTACTAAAACCTAAAGACCTAAAAACCAACAACACTACGTTTTTCATATTTGTTGAGGTATGCCTTGAGGCACTTAAAGATGGAAATCTTTGAAGTTAAAACTATTTTCATTACCAGCTAGGCAAACTCTTTTTGTACCATATGATACAAGGCATGTACTTGTTGGGCACTTTTTTTACACTATCAGGATTGTTTATGTGGGATGAAGTGAAAAAGTAAAGCGCCCATGAACATGGTTAGGAACATGTCATCCACTGAAACAGAGTGGGTCATTGTATGGCTAGTTATTAGACACAATAAGGAGGTCAATGTTGAGCTTTCCCCCACAACTCTAGAATGAAAGAACAATTATTGGCTGGATTGCGACAACATTTGTTCTGACGTCCATGGTGCACATGTGATGAATCCTCATTTGCTTTGATAATTTCCTAACTTATTCCTCTACTTCCACAATGAGAATAGCGATTTAGGATATTTGGGGAAATCTCAAATTTAGGATATTGCCAAAACATTTCAAAACATTCTCAACTTTAAAATGTAACAAATAAGTTGGTCCAAGTTTTGATCTGCAAACCTAATGCCATTCCCATCAGCCTCAGCTGTTCTTTGTGCTAATTATAAGCAAATGTTAGCATGCTAATAGATTGTGAACATGGTAAACATAATACCTGACAACGATAAGCATGTTAGCAATGTCATTGTGAGCATGTTAGCAATGTCCTTGTGAGCATGTTAGCCTGCTTAGCTTAGCATTTTGAACATGTGCTGATGGAATATTCACAGTCAGTTATTGAAAACAACTTTTTGGCATTGGTCTTTTCATGGGATTTATTAATGATAAACTTAGTCTGATAAGGCAGTCCAATAGGTTGCCATCATAGTTGTCCTGTTACCGTATTGCCTTGCATCAACACAGAGCTGGTTTATACTCGCTGGGGTCTCAGTCAGAACATCAATGGTGTGGCAGGTGGCATCCATATTGTAGAAGAAGTAGACAGGCAGGGCCGAGAAGGCGAACACCAGCAGCCACAGCACGGCTAGTACGTAAGTCATTACTATAAACTGTGCAAAGAAGAAGAAGTAGAATAAACATTAGGTTGCATCATCATAATAAACTGATGCACATAATCTTGGTGAGTGTTTTTATGAGCATTGACTCACTAAGTGACCATTTTTTTTGATTAGCTTTTCTTATTATCTTAGTCTGTGTTCTACTCCTCTTCTTCCAACCACTCAGCTTTTTTATCCCCACCCACTCAAACACACAATCTATGCTTATCTTTGCATGTCCCCAAAGGTTTTTAGCAGCCTTAAGATTTTCAGCTCAGCACCCACCAGGGAGTGATATGTGTATTAATCCCATCCAATCTCGCCAATCCCCTTTACTTGTCCCACTCTAGGCCCTCTCACCGAGGAGCTGAGGCAGCGGCCACACATAGTGCTCCTGAACTCTCCAAAGGTTTGCCTGGCAGCACTTGTGGTGTAGAAACCCTCCGCCAACAGCACGATGCAGTAGAGGAAGAAAAAGGAGGCCAAACCATAGATGAAATACTGGAAATATTGGATGCTGAAGAAAAAAGGAAAAAGAAAGATTGTTACAAGAAGCGTAACCTTCTAAATACATACAAAGAAATCCCATGACAAGGTTACACATGTCACTGTAATCATGTAAATGCATAGATTTGCCACTCACATGTAGGCGAGGGTGATGTAGTCCTGCATGTTACGAGCAAAGTACGTCTCGATGAGTCTTTCCGACTCGGTGAGTGCCTGGTGCCCACAACCGCAGAAGAGGGCAATGCCAGAGAAACATAGCAGTGTAGCGACCAGGGAGCAGTATGGCACCCCGCCCAAACAACGCATACAGCAATCATAGCAACCTGTCAAGACGCAGCACCATGAAATTCAATGCACATCATCAACGGATTCAATATGACACAGACTCTGTTTCTATTTTTGAGATATCCCTTTCTCAGTTTTTTCCTTCACACTACTAAAACATGGATCTTTTTTACATGATGATTTTATATTTATTAGTCAATAAATAGTGTTTAAATGTCTTCCACAGTTTCAGAGCCCAAACTGACATACTCAATATCCTTGTTTTTTCCGAGCTAGATACCCTAAGAGATGTTTGATAATAAATGCTATGAATTGATTATCAAAGTTGTTGACAATTCAATGTTTGGCGATGTACAAATCAATTATTCAATATGTGTTTCTGTTATGCTGGATGATTCACAGAACTTGCTGCCAACTGTTTCCATAGTGACTGGTTCTTTGGTAGAAAGTCGTTCCCATAAAAAAGGGGAGCACAATGAGTTGGAATTTCCAGAGAAGGATGAACCATATTAAAATAGTGTGAACACATGAAATTCCATAGAATCGAGTTTAAGGCAGAACATTTTGGGTTTGATGCCTCAAAAATTAGGTTTTATACCAACACAAATATCTCCACAATTAGAAAACAACAAGATTTGAGTGAGATTTAATTGAAATGCTGAATTCATGTTTCTTTGACACTGTTGACTGAGCAGCAGCTGTTAACACTTTCATTCCCTTGATAAAGCTGTGCACTCTCCCCTATAGTCATGTGATGTCGGAATGGATGCCAAAGGGCCAAGGGCATGGGGATGTATCTGCTCTGACCCCGGCTCGCACCCTGACTTCATTCACCACCCAGCATGGAGAGTGTGAGAAAAGGGGGAGGATGGAGAGGAGAGACAAAGTGAAAGAGAGAGAGAGGCTGCTTTTGTGACTGCAGAGACAACCGTCTTTGTCCTAAGGCATCATGGGGGTACAAGGGCCACCAATGTCATGCAAACAAAGGCCAGAGGCACCTCTTTGCTTGACACACACAGACACACAGGCACACACTCAGAGACTTCCTTCTGGGGGAGACAGAGGAACAAGAAAGTGATAGTGGGGAGCTGTCTGTGCTGGAAGAGGATGGAAAAAAAGCAAATCTATAAACAAACAATGCAACTGTGTGCATGTGTGCCATTACATGCTTGAAAGCGTGCATCCACACAGACATGCACAATGGAAGCAGACAGACTGTGGTTGGTACCATTACAGTAAACACAGATGGCAGGAGGGGCAAATAGATAGCTCTTTAATTGAACACTTCTATGTGCGGGTGTGTGTGAGGGAGAGAGAGAAACTGGGATCACTGTCATTCAGATGGCATCACTACTGTAGCGAGGAAGAGGGAGTTTTGATAGATAAACTGTGAGAAAACTAGCAAATAAAATGAATTTTTCAGTATTGTTATAGGGAAGGCAATTGTAGTATGCAAATTACACTTTCTACTACGTGCACAAAAAGCTGTGGTCATCATAATATCAAAAAGTAGCAGCATTCACATAAATCCAAACATTTCAGTCTAGCCAACATTGGCCCACATTCTTTGACACCTTGTACCAATTAACTAATTAATGACTTCACGAGGCAGAACAAAGAGCTGAAACAAAGCTGCACCCACTATGTCAATTGTGACTAAAATGAAAACACAGGCCTCGTTCTGGTTGAAAATGCAAAGCTGAGGCCAAGTTCAGCACTTTAAAAATTGAGAAAGATTGCGACCGAAAGCAAATGCGACAAGGCTCCTGTGAAAGTAGCCCTGCCATCTCAAGCATGACATAAATCTCTTGATATCAGTGCGGCATCAGCCGGTGAGTATCCGACCTCTAAACTGACAAAAAAAAGTAATGACTTCTGATGCCCTTTCACAGTCCCATTCATATCTGCGAGAAAATCACATGAAATAAAAAGCACATTTGATAATATGATGTAATGTGTCTGCTCAAAGTTAATACGTGGCCGGAGTTTCTTACCCATGTCTGGATGATGCGTTCGAGGACCTTTCGTCTACTGTTTGCTGCCTGCTCTGCAGCTGGTCCGCTGATGATATGCGCAACTGCTCTCCGGCCCCCGTATATCAACCTCAACTCGCTTTCTCTTCCAACAATGGACAGACCCACTGATGACTGCAAGGGCAATCTTAAAGAAACAATGTCTCTTTTCAATTAACTTCGTGGCGGAGAATAATGAGGAGGTCAAGGTTCTTACGCTTGCAGAAATGTTCTTAGTTCATTATTGACGCACATTTGCACGTACAGAAAGCAACTTCATATGCAAATACAGAAGAGAGAACGAAAGAAACAACTTTTGTGAGTCAGCCATCCCAACTCTAGGACAAACAGTCCTTGGTTCTCAACGGCCTTTTGTTTTAAAGCCAACTTCTAGAGCCTGATCAATACAACTTAATACAGCTAATGGATCAAGCATAGTCTTTAGGGAAGGATGACACTGTATGTCCATGACCAGTGAAGGTGGTCTGGCTAAAGTTTCACTTTCAAATATAAGCCTGTGGAAAGTCAGGTGATTCTCTCCAGACTAAGGAAAGTGTCATATTTAACTGAAGTGTCTTAGATTCAGTACTGAACATGCCAGATCCCAGCTAACAAAGCTGACATGCTTTATCATATCTCTTAAGTGGGTCTATTTATTGCTGGAATGTTCATTTTATAAAATAAAGATTTAAAGTGGCGTTCACAAACCATGAATATGTGGATTACTTGATTCAGATAGTGCCTATATAAACCGGGTTGAGGGGTAATTCTGAGCATCACTACAGTGAGATCCTTTGATAAGAAATACATCACTGCTATTTTAACTAGACTGGATTGTTATGTATGGGATCCTCCAACCCCTGATGGGTATCTCAGAAATAATTCACTGGCCATTTGTGTTGGTGCCAGCTGTTTTCTTTGCCCATGTCAGCTCATGAAACCCCATATCCCACTATTAAATGTTCAGCTTTAGTAAAAAAAGAAAAACTGGATTTGATTAAGATGAGATGTTCTGTGAGCGGAGCAGAGCAGCATGCAGCAGAGAAGCATCACTGATCTCAGGTGACCCGACTGTGACAGAGTGAGAGACTGTCCTCTGATTCATCTACACACCCTCTGGCAAAATACCAGAAATAAAGAGCAACATTTGGCTTTACCTGTGTCCAGCAGATGGCAGGCTTTCTCCTGCCAAAGCATTTGTGAGTGTGGCAGACACATGAGGAGTTTAATCCCACAATACAAATTATATTTTGAGAAAAGTCCGTTTTGTCAGAAAGCTAATCAAAACATGTTGCTCCAAAAATACACACTGGAAGGTAGCTAGATATTTAATTAAACAGGTCAAAAATGTCTCTGTTGAACCACAAAAGTGTTTTTTAAAATTTGGAATATTAATGGATTTCATGTTTCAATGGAATCTGTTATTCCTTATGTCATTACGGTTCTTTTATTTGTAGATTTATTTTGTAGCTCTTTTGTTTGTCTCTGTTAATGGAGTTGGTGTCACAGTACAACATTATCAAATCATTTAGTTTCAAGCCACTTGCTCAGAAATCCTCAGAGGAACACCACTCATGTTATACAAGCTTTGTTCTCCACTCTCCAGGTTGTTGTAAAGTGTGTTTTAAAACTCTGACCCACCTCTAACACAGGTATATCTTTAAATGATTGCTCAATAGTTTATGCTATAAAGACAAAGCAAATATGTTGTATTGTTAAAAGCTTGAACAATGAATCTGCCCTCTTTGTGTAATTGTATTTTAAACACATTTTAACCTGATCCTAGTTTTGATATCTCAATTATTCCCCTGCATACAAATGTAACCCATGAGAACAACTGCTTTCTATAGTATGATTTCTCTTGAAACATGTGTCATCAAAACGAAACTGTGGCGGTTTCTGTTTGGATTACAGCAGGTTTGTCTACTTTTCATTGGGTAAAATCCAGCACTGTGTTATGTCTGTCCCTCTGCCAACTCTCACCTGCACACAGCTGCGCCTCGCCTCCATTTCCTAATATGCAACATTTTATTAAAAAAATCGTTCTACATTAATATTTTCAAAGTAAATAAAAGATTGCTTCACAATTTTTTAAATTAAACTACAGATAACTTGGTTGTAAAATGCTAATATTTTTTTCATTATTATTATTATGATTATTTTGTCTTATGTCCTATATATAATGTGTTGCATTGTTGGAGGACCTCAGGACCTAAGAATTTCATTGCCATACACTGTAGCTACTGTGCATATGATAATAAAAACCCTTGAATCTTGAGTTTCTCTCAGGGCTGCTTCTTGAGAGACTTGCATTATCTCCACACCGGAGGAACAATAAACCCTTTTGTGTGTCAAAATACTTTAGACTTCCCACAACTCTGAAATCTGAGAAAGACCCAATCAACGTAGCAGACTATTATCTCAGTCTTGGTCTTCTCTCATGGAGTTATAGAGAATAATCCCTTTAGATGATCAATGTTTCACATTTTCATTAGTAATGCCTTGCAGTGGCATTTTAACGCTTTACACACAACCTGTGTGTCAAATTACAATTGTACATTGTTTCTCTGCTGGTAACTTCAAATACTTCACTTATCATACCATCTTTTTATATTTACTCACCAGGCAGGTTATCAGAAAATTGATCAACTTTATTTTCACAGATTTGTCCCAGTTTGAACACACATTGTATTAGAATAACTCAATATCAAAATGCAAGACGAGTTTGACAAATATTCAGAATGTATTTAAATTACAGGCTGATTTCATCCTTGACAAAGTGCGAGTGAGGATTAGACACATTGCTTGCTTTATTCTGTTAGTAATATTTGTCTTGAAGCCTGAGTGGAATCTCATTCTCCTCAATGTGCCCCCTATTTTTATGATGAAGTCTCCTCTGCTTCAGGTGTAAAACAACTGTCGCCACAAGCCAACATATGGACACCAGTATCATACCAAGGCCTACCAACAGTGTCAGCTGAGCAGATCTGATGTCCACTGCCTCACAGATTTGGGTCTTTTGGGGGGTTTGAACCAAGTCAGCTGTCCCTGACCAGGTGGGCTCCCGGTCCAAGTGGCAGGGGCCCACGCTCTCGTTGACCAACAGATTAACCCAGACAGTGGTATAAAGTGGAGCTGGCTTCCCCCCATCTCTGACCACAATGAACAGGTGATGCATTCCCAGGTCTTTCTGTAGGAGTTGCTGGGCTACAGTAATGTTTCCTGACATTGAATCTACTCGGAAGGGACTGGTTTTTTGCACTGGGTCTGGCATCACAACAGTGTAAGTAATCTCCGAATTGAGCCCTGAGTCTGCGTCAATGGCAAAGACCTTTGTTACAATGGTGCCTGTCACGGCTGTTTGAGAGACAGTCTGGCAGGAGGAGTTGCTGCTTGGAAGGACAACTTTTGGCTGGTTGTCATTGATATCCTCCACAAAGATAGTTACCCTGGCAGTGGAAGTCAAAGCGACTGGGTGCCCGTGATCGCTAGCCAGCAGGTAGAGTTCATAACGGTCGCGCGTCTCGTAATCTAAGTCGGTGGTGGTGTGCAGTGTCCCAAGGGTGTTATCCAAAACAAAAGGTCCACTGCTGCTCACAACATGCAACTCTGTGTTCCCATTCGCTCCTTCGTCTGGGTCTGTCACCCTAACCCTCCCCACCTGGGCAAACGGTTTTACATTCTCAGGCATGAAAAAGATAAAGTGAGGGGTTATAACAACGGGTGCATTGTCATTCTGATCCAGCACTTGAATGGATACTGTGGCCGCTGACTCTAATGGAGGAGAGCCGCTATCTTGTGCTAACACAGTGAGTGTGTGTGCATCCTGCTGCTCCCTGTCCAGAATGGCTGACACAGACAGCTGACCTGTATTGGGGTCAATGTTAAAGATGGAAGATGTGTGTTTGTCCAGACTGTAGGTCACCCTGCCGTTGTATCCACTGTCTGCGTCGGTTGCCAAGACCTTCAGCAGTGACATCCCTGGCTGGTTGTTTTCTTCCACCTCCAGCTTGTAGTGAGACTGGACAAAAATTGGAGCATTATCATTGACATCTGCCACCAACACACTGATCGCACGCCTGGAATGAGTGATCACAGATCCTTCAGCATGCACTACAACAAAAATATGATGTTCTCTTTTCATCTCATAGTCTAGGGCCTTTGATGTGGAAAGGAGATATTTGCCATTCTGTGGGCTCAGAGTGAAAGGTACCTCACCCTCAATGGCAATAGATGAGCCTTCAAATCTGCTGTCACCCTCAAGCTCTAAAACAGCTAAGACAGTGGGGGGTTGGTTCTCTGGTAACACCATAGTCTCGTTTTGATGCTTCACTATGAACCCGATCTTGATTGCCAGCTCTTGGTTGGCCTTGGGGAGCACGGATACAGTTACCTGAGTGTATGCTGGGGGGCAGTGGTGGCCGCTAGCTAACACTTTCAACAGCAGCTCCTCGAAGCTGTCACTCTGGAGGTCCTGTGTTAGTCTGATGGACCCAGTGAGGCTGTCAAGGCTTAAGAGATGCTTGGCCTGCTCTGAGACTTTGGGACTGAGGGAGTACACAATGGCAGCATTCGAGCCTGAATCTGGGTCTGTAGCCCTGACCTGAGCAACCAGCATGTTCTTCGGGGAGTCTCCGGGGATGCTGGCGCTGCGGGGGCTGTCGGGGCTAAAGCTTGGACAGTTGTCATTAACATCTGTCACTGTGACTATTAAAGTCGCTGTAGCACTTAAAGGGCCTTGGTCAGTGGCCACCAGCGTCATCTTATACATGTCCCGAGTCTCCCTATCCAGAGCTGTTTGCACAACCAGCATGATGACAAGCCCGTCTTCTATCGTTAAACTGAAAACTCCATCAGAATCTTCAAGCTGATACGACAGCTCACTGTTATACCCAGCATCCCTGTCCAGAGCCTGGTCATCCAATAAGAAACTGGTCCCTACAGACACGTCTTCAGACATCTTCAAGTGTATTTCACTGTTTTCAAAATGAGGCGCGTTGTCATTGATGTCCTCTATGATCACAGCGAACTGTATAAGGTCACCTGAGGGCCCCACGACAGCGTTGTGTAAAATAATGCATTCCTCAGTTTTTGTTTCCTCAGGGAAGAGGGCCTCGCGGTCCATCTTTTCCTCAGTGGTGTAGAAATCTCCAGTGTTTTTGTCCATCCGCAGATACTTCTGCGTCAGTAGCTGGTACGGAGGTGGAAAGTGTTCACTAAGTGACCCCACCAGGACACCTGGCCCCTGTTCCTCTGGGATGTAAAACCGGACAGAACCACATATTATCTGCTGCAGATGGACCACAACGAGCAGAATCTGACAGGAGAAGAAACAAACTGTGAGCAGTAATTATTTTAACCCTCCTGTTGTCTTCGGGTTAAATCTGACAGATTTACTACTTTCATCAATCATAACTTTTTTGTTTTACATTCGATTGCATTAAGGCTTTATGATATCCTTCACAGTAGACATTTGAACATATGAAATTGCTGATCACCACTTTCATTACATGTTGGATGATTTAGTCAACTTAGCCACCCATGGTGTTCGGGTGAAAAATGACTTAGTAACCATCCGGATCAGATACAACTCACACACACACGCATACACGCATACACACACACACACACACACACACACACACACACACACACACACACACACACACACACACACACACACACAAGTTTGTTCACATTCCAGTCATGACAGAGCTATTGTTTTACTTAAACAAAGGATGAGTGTAACAGTTTTTAATTAGTCAGTAAACTCATTTGACAAAACTCCAGTACCTCTCCATGTACTCACGACAACATCGAATAGGCCTACTACAGAAAAACATTGCAGATACACATAAGTAATTAGACACTATCAGTACGGATAATCCTCACATTGCTTTTGAGTCACTGACCTGCATTAGTCCAGCCCAGCTCATATTAATAGGAGTCCCATTGCCCATCTCAGCGTCTTTGGGTCTAGAAAAGCGCTATATAAATCCCATTTATTATTATTATTATTATCTCGCTCTCACATACCACCCAGGTTCTCCCAGCAGCAATGTGCTCTGAGGAAAGAGGAAGCAACCTTAACCTGTTCAGCTGAAGGTATAATGAATTACATGCCCCTCCTACAATATTTACCTGGTGTGTCGGAAGGACACCGGATAAGTCAGAGAAGGAACAGGTTTACCTGCCTTCTTTCATAATTATTCCTTTATGAAATAGTATAGCCATGGGCCTGGGGCATCAAATAACTGAGCTTGCACACCTGTTTATACAAGCAATTCTGTCATACCTTATCTTCTTTCATAGGTTTATCCTGTTCATTTAGAGATGTGCTTCAATGAAATTGAATTACAAACATGAAAATAAACGACTTTCTTCTTTAGGTGAACATCTGCAGTAAGAAATACATAATGTAGTACAAAGTACCTTTCAGAGAGTAATATCGTACATGTTGTTGAACTACATTTGTCTAAAAGCTTAAGTTATTTGTAGGTTTAGATTTATAAAAAAAATAGAAAACTTAAAACATGATGAATTTCCCACCAATATTTAAAGCAACCAGGATTAGCTGCAATATAAAATGCTACACACCAGAATACACATAATGTTACTCTTAAAGGGGCTATTATAGCGACCACTTTTGATGAATTAAGTATAAGCCTTAATTTCTGCGATTGAGTATTTTAAATCATGAAATAACTTTTACTTTGAGTGAAGGATAATGAATATTACAGTCGTCCAGACATTTATTGTGAAAGGCTTCCATCGATGTCACTATCAGCAAAATTATATAATAATCTTCTCCCTAGCTGCCCCTTTCCACCATGCGCTAACAAAACTGTACATGTTTTGTAAAGTGTACATGTTTTGCTTTAAAGTAACTGTAAATAAATAAATACAATTATAATATTTCAGACTTTTGTTTTACACACACATGCACATACTTCAACTTAAGTGCCACTTATTCAAGTCTGCCAGAGTCAGGGAATGGGTATGAATCATAGACTATAAAGGTATAGCCTGCATTTATCAAATCAAGACTATGTAAGTAAAATACATCCCGTTTTCTATACATTAATTTTATGTGATACGAGGTGACAGGACCCTTACAAAGTTCTTAGAGTGATCGTCATCGCCGTTTTTATTTTTCAATAAATAATTGTATGACTCCGAATGTATAAAACTTCCTTGTGCCAAAACACGATACATGTATTATCAACAGTATTCGAGTTCATGTTCTTTAAAGTCTAAATACATTTTTTTTTAAATCATGCAAACCGCAACCTGAGTTACACGCTTATTTCCGTGCGTCTCATTTGCGTATGGGGTTCCTTCTCAACTTTCCGCTTACTTTTTTTCCGGTTACAGTAAACCTCTGAGGTTCTTCTGCGACATGATTGGCTGGTGTCGCCCCGCTAGCTCAGCGTGTGTGTGTGTGTGTGTTAGGAGGGCTTTATAATACAACTACAGTCCTGCTGGTAAGCTTGAAACCATTGTGAACCCAGTCGCCCAGAAGCAGCAGCAGCATCAGCGTGGTTAGTTTCTCTGCTCCAACATGACCTCAGACATTAACACAGGTAAGTATATGAGCCATTAGTTTTAAATGATGACACAGTGATGGTGATCATAGGCCTGTAACTAACTGCTTTCACCTCTACAAATTACTTAATCCTGTTACATGAGAAATCAAAGTTACACTGAGTGAGAAGGCAGTTATGTAAATCAGATAGCCTGTTATGTTTTTGGACCATTTGCATATATTTACACATTTCAAAAGTTGTATTCTAATATACATTCATATTTAAATGTGTCCATCTGCTTATACTTTTCATTGTATATCTTTAAAACACTATTTTATATTGCATATGGGGACTGTTAAAGTGTTATCATATTCATAAAATTGTGGGTAAACTGAGTTGTGGTCATCCATTCTTTAATGACTAGGAATTTATTCAAGAATTGGCCAAAAGTGTTAAAAGTTATTATTTATGTATCACAGTAAGCAGACCAGGTGTTTTACAGGCTATTCAATGTTTTATATGCCTTATGGGCTGTTAATTTTATTTTCACTCGTCAAATGACCTGATAAAACCCACTGACATAAAGTTGTACTGCAGGTTTTGGCTTTTAGCTTTTATTATATTTCAGAGTCACCCAAAATATCTTTGTGTTGAAAGTTGTATCGCAAAGTCTAAGATATGTAGTTTTTTGTTAAAAAATGTTCCAAATATATACGCTTCAATCTCATTATTATAAGAACTTTTCTACTTTTATTTGAGCTTTCTTAAAAAACTAGCGATGTTAACATTTTCCTTCAGTAGAATAAAATGGTTTCTTTCCAATTTTTGTCACATTTTCCACAGACTTGGATCTGGAGCTGGATGGGTTGCTGCAGGAGTTCCAGGATGTGGTGGAGGAGCTGAAGGCCCCCTCTCTGAGCAAACCGCATCCTTACCAGCACGTCTTGCAGGAGGCCAAAAGTCGCACGGGGCTGGGAGACGACAGCGGAGTGGAGGACTCGGATTACAGTGAGTGACACGAAACCATCGCACTAGAACGATGTGGCAGTTAATAAGATAATGTTTGCTTATTGTACAAAGTGTGGATAAAGAAGGACATTATTTACTGCATCATTGTTGTGAGTGAGGTTATCCCCATGGGTGCCGGTTGAGCCCCTTTATCAGCCAAAACAACTGCAGCTTGACTCTTTTAATTTGCATGAAATTAGTATTACAAGGGGACACATCCTTGTACACTTCTATGAAAGGGGCTGTTTTGATCATGACAATAGCTGCGTACCAGAAGGAACTGCAATTATGAATAACACATCTTCTGTAATTGTCTGATTTTTGTTTTTGTTGCTGCTGTTGTGCATTTGTCGAGGGTTATGAGATAAAAGAAGTTTGTGTGTTCCTCTGCTCCCTTGCGTCATCATTATTGAAAGTATTTTTCCCCCCTAATGTTTTAAAAGCCGACAGTGAATACGCGTTTACCTTCATTTTGCTGCATCTTATTCCATTATCTGCTTTAAAATTGTTTGTTATTGTTTGATCATTTGCATGGGCTGGCCTTAGTGCTTGTCTCCTGTTTATTATTTCCGCTCACCCCCTTCTCGCCTGCCTCTCCCCCCAGGCAGCGAAGCTTCTTTGGGAAACAGTTTGAACACCAGCGAGGAGGAGCTTCGCACAGCAGGCATAATGCTGGCACCGAAAGGTACTAACTCCCATCAGCCCATCTCCATTCAGATAGCCCTCCTTCTTACAGTGATCACTATCACTTTTACTCTGATCACTATCGCATCCACACAAAAACCCTCTACTTCAGGCTAGGAGCTCTTTTGTTTTTACACGACAAAGCCCCCTGCCGCTGCGACTGTAACATCTCAGCCCCCCCACCCCCCCACTCTCCAAGCCTCCTGCAGGGGTTATTTGTGCTGTTGTGTAGCTAGGGGATTCACTTAGGTGTATACATGAATGAGAATTGTTGCAATCTGTGACATGTAGATGCAACTGTTACATCTATATGGACTAAAACAAGACATTGTCATTCACAAATGTCAGGGTTTATTCAGATAACCTCAAAGATATTTACATGATTTTACATAGATCCTGGTGGGATCCATCAAGGTGTCTGGGATTTACTTAAAAGCAGCATTATCTCAGTTCTAAGAAAAAAAGATGAGCTTTGGTTCATATGTAACTCTTAGATTAGTTTTCAGATTCTGGTCCAAGGGAAGATACCCCCCAACTGAGCCGCATTTCCCCACAGAAATGTTCCATTGCTTTACGTCAGTTACTACAATTCCTTTTCTTGCTGTCCTCTTTCTGCAGCCAAGCTGGGAGACACAAGGGAACTTGAGAGTTTTATCGACATGTTGGACCGAGAACTTGCAGGTGTGTATTTAAGAGAATTACTCCCCATATTACTTTACCCTTTCTTTATTCCGTTTGCCCTTTAGCTGACAAGCTGCAGGCGGCTGGGTGTAATAGGGGCAGAGACCCGGATTGGAGTGCATGATTTGTTGCACATTGACAGAGTGCGTAGTAGTAGCCACCATGTTTATACCCTGTACTACCCCCCCATCCTGTTTATCTTGGAGCACCTCTTGTGTGTAAATGCCATGCCTGGGGACTCAGGTGGACTATCTGCACGACCTTTAGTGATAATAGTGTACTTGACTACATGAACATCCTGCTATCAGCACTAAAGCAGTGCTGTTTCAGAGGCCTGTGAACACATGGCTTTGTGCACGTACACAAACACAAACCATAAAGAACAACATACATCCGCTGCTATCAGTGGTTTTGACGCTGAGAGAATTAATGTTACCAATGAATCCTAACTCCCCCTGTATCCTTACAAGTCTCAGCTATTAGTCAGTGCATGTTTGAATGTGTGTTAATATTCCTGTGTGGTGCCTTTTTATCTTATTCTGGCTTTTGTAGTTTATTTTTCTTCCCCTCTCTTTTGCAGAGATGTGAACTGAGAAAGAAAGAGAGACACGAAGATGGGGAGAAACAGGCCGTGGGCGACTTGGCTGGCTACCGCAGATCTACACCAGGGCAGATCTGAGGGAACAAATGCTTCACCAGGGGAAAAGGTTAACATCAGAAATTAGAAGGGCACTCCATTCCAAAATGCAAGATCCCCCCCAGACCTTTGGCGACGCCTCGTCAAGCTGGAAAGACGATGCCCCAACAGCTTCAGATCAGAGATATGCGACAAATTACTGAAACTAGACCAACCCTAAACCCTCTGGAGGTACGAGAAAACGCTCCCAGAGCATAGGAAGCATGCTATTGCAAAATGTACATTTCCAATAAGTACAATGGCCCTAAATCCTCAGTGTTATTTATTGTATAAGGAAGCTGGTCCAAATTACAGACGGAACTTTAGTTTTAAATGAATTAAAGTCCAAGAGGTCCAGATCTGTGTATAGGCCATCAAAAGTTATGTATATGCAGACATTTCCAGTGTATATTTCTTGTTAATATTCCTTTCTTTTTTAGATATATATAAATGGTTGTACAGATTTATATAAATAAAGTTACATTTTCATTGAATGCGTATAGATTTCCTTTTTCTTTTTTGTTTTACACATTATATGAAACTACATTTACTGTAAATGTTGTCCCATATTGAGTGCAGAGACAAAGTTGACCTTGCTAGCCACATCTGATCGTAAACACACACAACGTTGAAAGCTTTTCACTTTTCTGAAGAATACTTCTGACAGTAAATTGTATTCAGTGTTCCTACACTTCACTATCCCTGAAATTGACGGTTGGTACTGTCGCGCCACATGTCTCTGGGGCCCTTCACCCATTCTCCTTGGTTTGTACCTATGCTTCCTGTATGTCTGTTCTCATTATGCTTTGAGTTTCACTTCTGCCTCCAACTCAGGAAACCCACACATTTAGCTCAGACACAATGTGAAGCCAGCTTTAAGGAGGAAGTGCGTCAGTGGTGCTTGGAAGAAACAATGCTCACTTACACTTTGAGCTTTAATTTATTATGTCGGGGGGGCTTTGACTCTGCTGTAACTTAATACCACAAATCCAAGCTTTGAACTTCAGGAAGGAAATTGTTTTTCTTTGTTTGATTTCCCTGTGAAAGAGCGCCTTAACAGTTTCTTTGCTGTTATTTTTCCAACATGGTTGTGATTACAGTGCGCTGTCAAATCACTCCACAAGTCTCATCCACTCACAGGTGTCTCCTCCCTGTTGTCAAATCCACACTGCTTAGAGAAACCGCAGAGGCCAGGGTGAATGTTGTGGTTGTAAGATGTGATTTTTCACTTTTGACTTTTAAATTGAGTGGCGTCAGCTGCATAATCCTGCTGAAGTATGCAAAATTATTTTTATTACACTGCTAGAGAACTGCCAGATTTGAGTTGAGGATGAGGCTGAATGAGAAACAACAGTCAACAATCTTTGAAGTATTTTGCTGCACAGCTAGTTGTAATCACACTTTCAGAACGACGACAGCCAAGGAAAAGTTTTGCCCTCGTGGAAACAGAGATGTAATGGACCAGCAGTTTATTGAATCGTCATTGTTTTCTCCTAAAAAAGATCCAGACAGCATGTTGATACGACCCGTCACCTGAGCCAGCGGCCCTGGTGATATATTACAGTTGGACTGCTCGGTGGACCTGCTGTTTGACATCATGTCAGCCGTAGCAGCCAAAGGAAGGAAGGCTGGACATTTAAGATACTGTCCCTTGTCTGTTTATGTCTCATTAAAAGACACTTTGTTCAGAAAGTCCACTGTGTTGAACTGTGGCCAACTATATAACCCTCCTGCCCCGGATAAGAGTTGGCGCCGGTTTGTGGAGAGTGGGGTGTAGTAGTGAGAGCAAATTATCTTAAAATGTGACATTACTGTAAAGCGTAAAGGAAAAATGGGAATAGAAAGATACCAAAAGGGAAAATAAGATTGTTCAAAGAATGGGAAAATACACAGGGGTGGTATAGAGTAACCTTCTCCTCCTGTTTTGTCTGCTCCACTTTGAGAAAGGTGACGATGACTGATTGAGGCCACAGCTGTTCAGCATGGTAACAAAAAAAAGGTGTGTTTTGACATGATGGAACTTTCCTCTCAAAGGTAGGGCATATCCTGTTTTTCAGAGGATAAACGAAAGCAGTGGCAACAATGCAGGAAACGTGATGGTGTAGTAAAGAGGAAACTGAAAGGCTTTCGATTGGACTTCCTCTTTTGTATGTCTAACAATTTTCTAACTGTATTTCTCAGATCTGCAGTCTGGTAGCTGCCAAACCTGCTCTATTCTGAATTGTCCTTTCATTATACACAGCTAATTTTTCTGTATGATTTTCATTAGACTGTTCTTCAGTAGGATCTGATGCTATATTTCAGTTGGTCTTATGGGAATAACTCCCCATTGTTTAGCAAATTACTATGAGACCAGTATTTGATTGGCAGTGCATCAACGTAGGAGGGCAATATGTCGCCTTGTTTAGATAACAGAGCAAATGATGAATGCGCTCAGTTCATTAGCTGATACATTAAAATGAATTGATGTCATGATGAGTGAATAGGCTGGAGAGATGAAGACGTAATAAATATGGTGCACCTCTTTTGACCCTCACACCTATAGACCCAGGCATCTTGGTTATAAATGTCACATAAACTTAAAATCTGTGCACACAATGATGGTTTGCTTTAAACTAGTTAGCAAGCTAATGAAGATGTAATTGAGTATAGCAGAGAGGAGACACTTGTTATTATCAGACAATGAGTAAATGAGGCGGAGATATGGCCTGTGCAGTGAAGCTATAATGGCCGAGATGAGTGCAGCATGCAGAGCACGCAGTCTTCTGTCATCTGCCTGATGAGAGACCGAGCAACGCCTCTCCCCCGAGAGCCCCCCAACGGTCCAGGCTAACAACACTCTCCCAAGGAATTAACTGGCTCAACCGTCCAACACACACACACACACACACACACACACACACACACACACACACACACACACACACTCTAAGTAGTCCGATTCTGACTGGGTGTTACGTAACCCAAGCCAGTCCCTGAGCCAGTATCAAGGACTCGGATCACTGCTTTGTTACTCTTGCACAAATCTCACAAAAGGCAGAATGAGGACATTGAACCATAAAAGGACTTGATGGTGTGAAATAATATCTCTCATATTAAACCACTTCAAAGCCGTGATAGATATTCATATAGGCCATAAATACTGTAAAACATTTTCTTTTGTTATTTTGATATAATGTGATGACATAACAGGAATGTTTTAGAAAACTGACTACAACATTTCTTAGCAAAAGGAGTGGTCCCGTGAGCCATTTTTTATCGGTCCTCAGCAGATTGTAAAAGTATAATGGAATATGGCCCACAAATGAAACTTATATTACTCAGTAGTATTCATGTGTTAATATGTCCACTTTTCAAATAAATTCAGTCAATTCAAGTTTAAAACAATTTCTAACAAATCTAAGTTGATAAGAAAAAAGCCCAATGACCTATTTGTATAAGAAGCTTGAAATCTACCCTTCATATTTCCCCTTAAGCAAGCTGAGGCTTCTGTTTTAAGGAATGAGCTGCCAACAAAATAAATGAAACCCTATGGAGATCTGTGAGGCTGTTCTTAAAGCATATTCAAGTAACAACCATCATTTACCTACATTTGATTGATTTTGCTAATTTTCGTCAACAATAAGTCATAAAATGTCAAACAACAATGTGAGGGTGTGGCAAAGTGTTTTTTCTGTGAAATTTCTCAACAACTACTGGAGGGACTTCCAAGACATTTTGTACACAATTGTTGTGCTCTTCATATGTGAATGAATGAACTGGGAAATCTCCTGACTTTTTATTCATTCATTTTTATTTAATATCATTAAATATCACTGGACATCTTCAAATCCTCACTAAAAACGCACCTGTTCACCATGGCCTTCGGACCCTATTCCATGGTCCCCTGGCTTCCTTTATTTTATTTTATTTTTTCTTGTTTTGTTCGCTCCTCATTGTCTGTTTTGTTTTGTCTGTCCACCATGTACAGCGACCTTGGGTCCCGTGAAAGGTGCTTTATAAATTCCATTTATTATTATTATTATTATTAATATCGTTTTTTGTCTAATACTTTTTTCATGCCTCAAATTAATGACATTCCCATCAGTATTTCCTGTAGTGCTATTAAGAAAATGTTAACTAGCCTCTAAGTATAAGTTCACATTAGAACTATAGAGCTTTTGTTTATGACATGCAAAGTTTGAGTGATATTTGTTTACAAATTGAAGAGTTTACCTCAACGACGCAAAATCAGCATTTTTTCTGTGTTCGTAAACTTATCTTAATTAAGCATATTGACCTGTTGTAAACAAACGTTTAACATCATTACAAACATAAATAACTTCAAGTCCTCTGCAGGAAATTGAAATAGATCTACCAATACTCGACTCACTCAGGAGAAACAAAATCACTACTCCCTCATCTTAAAGTCATCAGTGCAATGGAACATTTTAAATGGCTTATTTGGATTTTTGTGGTTTCTCTCATATAAATCCAAGTCTCTACCTATTGTCATTTCCTGTTTTGGTCTCTGAATCTTCAGGCCTCATTGTATGGGACAGGAAACCAGTATAATGACTGTTAGAGGAATTCATTCCCAAAGAATGTGACACATGCAGCCTTCCATGGAGTTCAAATGAGCCGTTACGTCACTGCTGACTGGGGATTCTTTGACGCCACTTCACCCTTCCTCTTTCAACTCAGACAGGCAATTTACTTGAATTCATTTCTGAAACTCAAGCAAACAGCATAGAGTTTATCAAAGTACTCAAATATAGAAATCACTAGATTCTTGGATTGGGAAGAGCGTCTGTACTTTGAATGTTCCAATCTAAGTGCTAGTTATATATTGAACACTAGTGAGAATAGGGAGTAAAACAAGAGTGCTGTGAGGAGATGCAGATGTGTGAACGGAAGTGACAGTGAACATAATGTTTTGCCAATGCCATAGAGGGAAAACTGTGTTCTGTATTGAGATGTACCAAGCTGTTAGTCACACATGGAGGTCATATCTTAACAGCATGTTTCCGGTGTGTAAGTACTTCTAGGAGAGCAAATAGAAAAGCATACAAATGTTAAGATTTAAGAGTTACCTGTCTTACCTGTTACCAGACTGCCTTGCAATAGCAACTATATAACCATTCAATAAAATGTCCTGTTTTTAATCCTCCTGTTATCCTCAGATTTACTTTACACCCTTTATTCTAACCCAAAACTCAAGACAATGATCACATTCAATATTTTAACCAACATGTATGTCTCTGGTGCTTTAGGTATCTTAGTTGACTACCTAAATAACCATTTAAATAAAACATTACCCCAACCTTCCCCCCCACAGAGCGCTTTATACATCCAGAATTCCTATTATGTGACTGTCGAAAAATATTTAAATCAAAATAAAATAAAATATTAAATTAAGATCTTTTTGATGTTGTTAAAGGACCAATAACTAAAGCAGAGTGTAGTTTTGTTTTACAATGATTCATTTGCATGTAATAGCCACCTCAATATCGTC